CACATATCTATGTGATGAAGTATTGAATGTAGGCACTCAAAATAAAATATTAGAAAAGCTCAGCTATTCGGAGCCATGGAACCTTATGATTGAGGTCAGATTTGTTTGGATTAAAAAAATATATGGAAATCTAAATAACACTGAAATGATGCCATATTGAAAACTGAAACTAAAAAATAGGTTATATAACACACTTAAAGGCACAGTTGGCATTTCAAGATCACAATGACTAGCCAGTTGTAACCTGCTTTTGAACCCACAGCTGAACCCTGCATGTCGAATTACTGAAAAGGGTGGGTCACCTTCTTTTTAAACCTGAAATTTGATAACCAGGGCAAAAGAACCCTCATATATTCTTTCTTTTTATGACTATAAAGCTGTGAAGCACCAATAATAACCTCAAGTATCAAACAAACTTTGCCAAATTAGCACACTTTTGGATTTCATACTTGAATCTAAAAATCAGAAACCATAATTCAAAGCCCTGTTTTTATAAAACAAAATTTACAACAGGTACCTAAGCTGGATGTGACGTATGGTAGGCACTTTAATAAATCATAATAATGACACATTGCCAAAACAGTGGCTGTCATTAGATTTTCTTGTAATAACTATGTATAATCCCTTTGCTTAAACAACAACAAAACCTGTTTGTCACTGAGATCCAATATAAAATATATTGGTTTCATTTCAAAATTACTTATAAAGGTTCTAAAGCCCATATTGTTTATAGTAACATATGCAAACATGATTATCTGGACCCGTATTTATGGCTGTAATCTCACTGGATTTCATAGGGTAGGTAGGGTTGGGTCTATATTATTTGCATGGAAGACCTCAAAGGAAATTCCAAGTTACTGTATGGACTGGTATTTGTGCAGGGCAATATTCTTCTGCTGACTCAGTATTGAACTAGCATAAAGCATATGATCACAAGGGTGATCATATAAGAGCTAATACTGAGGATACCAAGCACTTGGGGTCATTAAACACTCTATGGTAGTTTTTGCAAGTGTAGGAGTGTCTGGACAAATACCAATCTAGATAATTACATCCTGCCTACTTACATTCCCCTGTCGCTTTAAATGGATAAGGTATTATTCTTCTATTCTTGTGTAAAAGTGGATCCTACAGCCCTTCCTTGGGCTCTGTTAGGACTATTTCTAGAATGACCTTCTACATGCAGGGCTGTATATGGCCACAGAGAGTAGTTTATATGACTCAGTATATTGCACTAGATTTTCAATTTGCTGCCTTCTGAAATCACTTCAGTTGAGCTCACTGGAATCTACTTCAAACCAAAGACACCAATTTAATCTAAGTCATTACTTAATTCCAACCTGTAAAAGTCGTATTTACAATAAATCACTGTGAAAAATTAGTGCATAGTTATGAGATCAGTTTCTGTAAGACTTCCTTCGGTTCATGTGATCCAGGCCAAATGCTCATTATTTTTGTGCATGACCCTGTCTACTCTCACTGAAATCAATAGCAAAATAGCAACAGGGGTCAGTGACACCAAGGCCAGTGCCCTTAATGGGAGGGAGACTTGCCTTGAGTCTGTACCATGTAACAGCCGTGTGATTGTCCCATCCCTCTTCAACTTGAAACATGCTACATCAAACAAAGATCCTACATGATCTTTTCAAGTCAGCTGTATCTTACATTTTAAGAGTGGGTGCAGCAGATAACTAAAAGCTTGCTTTAAAGTGGTATGTCCATTAAAACAACCCATGTTATGAGGGGACAGGAATTTGCTTCACTGAAGTAAAGTGGAAGGAAACCAGACTTCAGAAAACCTTCGTTATCCTGTTTGAGTACCGCACATTAGACCTCTCCTGCTCACAAAAGTCCTCTAGAAAGGAAGGAGTTGTTAGCACGTTTCCCTACAGAAGGAGCCTGTTAGCAAGATGGGTACTGGTGTTAGTCACAATTCTTACTCTGCGGTGGGGTTGTCAATCGCAATTATTCCTGCAAATCTCAGTTTTAACTCCTGCCAGTTTACTCTGTAAACTCTCAGTTTCAAAGTTCACTTCATATTTCTGGCTTGTCCTACACTATGTCAGTTTGAAGGCTGGCTTTTGGGGGCTTTTTTAGTTTAAATGTTTTTCTAGCTGTATTTTTGTAGGTCAAAAGACTTTTCCAAGTCTGTTCTCTTTCTGAGTGGCGACTCTCCCAAGACAGCAAATACAGGGTTTTTATAGACTTGTTTTCATGAAGATTTAGTCATCTTAAGTCTGAAATTATTTAGGAGAAAGATGACCATCTTAGTACAATTCGTTGAATGTAAATTTGAAGGCAGACAGCTTGAGTAAAGTTATGCTTTAAATAGTATCACTGGATACAAAGTAAGCAAACAGAAGGCAGGTAGGAAAGAATCTTCACAAATCCATACCTTTTTTTTTTTTCTCCTCATTTCATGTGACTTGCCTACCTCAAAAGCTTCTGACATTCTGTACTTCTGAAAACCAAGACCTGCCTCTTCTGTCTTTCTCCAGGGTCTTCCTTTTGCTTCCTCTGTTGACTTGCACCCTTTGGAGAGTGAAGTTACCTTGAGAGAAAGAGGGTGATGCAGCTGCTTCACCAAGAGCCACCCAATCCACTCAGTGAAATAATACTTAAGAAATAATCCAACGTGAAGGGTAAGAGTATGAAATGTGACTAAGCAGTTAGGGAATTTCTTCCACTTCCCCACACTAGGTAGCAGATAAGACCAAATGCAGCTGGTGAATTTCCAGCAGAAGAGCGTTCAGTTTGAAAGCAGGTAAGGACTTTGTGTGCATCCACACTGACCAGCTTGAGGAGGAGACAAATGCATCCTATATAAAAGGGTGCAGCAACAGGTCCTGTCCTGTAGTGCTTAGTCATGCTCGATTGTATACTCGCAATCTTCCCCAAAAAATCAGCATTACTTTACAATGTTGGTTTATTATAAGAGAAACAAAAGGAGAAAGTGCGGTGTGGACTTTAGTGCCTCCACTCGAGTGGACTAGGGTTAGACCTACGCCTCTTAGGGCTATCTCCTTCTTTGCTCCCAACACTATGGCTGCCAGGGAGTAGCGAAGGTGAACTGTCCGGGTCGGGTGAAGCGGGCCGGCCGGTGGGCAGGGGTGCTTTGGGTGTGCTTGATGGCCGGGCCAGCCGCCCCTCCGCGGTGCGCCGCGGCGGCGGAAGCGCAGGCGTGCTGAGCGGGGCGGCAGAGGAATAGCCGGTCTCCTGCGCCGAGCAGGGGCCGGCGCAGACCCGGCGCAAGTGCAAAGCGGGGTGTCCGGAGGCTGCGCTGGCTCCTGTCGTCCTCGCCCCTTACCTCCCCGCTCCCGGGACGACTTTTTTTGAGAGGGAGGAGGTTACCTTTTCTTAGCAAAGCCCCGTCCCTTGCCAGGGGAACTTTCTACGTGCCTGCGCGTGAGAGGCAACTAGTTGCACTCGCTCAACTGCGAGTGTTTGGCTTTTCCCCTACCAGCCTCCTCCTCCATCTAACACCCTACACACACCCCCCGCGCCTCTCCTCCCGTTTTGCTCCGAGTTGCACTTTATTTGTGTGTGGAGAAAAGACGGGGGAACACGACTTGTAGAGGGGATGTCCTGTTTTTGCCAGAGGGGCAGTGCAAGAGGGGAACGTCGGCTCGGAGAAGGAGCGAGAATAAATAAATAAGGAGCGGCCCTTAAATTAAAGGTAGCGGCATATCCCGGCAGCGAGAAGGTGAGTCTCTCCCCGGCTTCCCCGTTCTCGAGCCTCCCTCCCACCCCTTCTGCTCAGGGGTGGAGGAAACCGGCTCCCTGTCGCGAGTGTATGCGTCCGTGGAGATGGGGGGGGTGGGGGTGTGTGTGCATGTGCTTGTGTTTAGGGTTTATTTAGCGTTGTTTTCCTGTTGGTCCGATGACCAGAAAACACAAAGTTGCTGCAAAACAAACGTGATGGGAAGGAACAGCGGAGCCGTCCATCGCAAACCAGAGCCAGGCTTTCACCTCCGGCCCCGCACAAGTTTAGTTGCAGAAATCCCACCGGTCTCCGGTGCGGACGGGGTGACTTTCTGCCTCTCTCCAGGTGACAGTCCCAGCCGTGTTGCCGTCACTCCCCTTCGGCCGGCTGTTACCGTGGCTACTGAGGTGAACCCCGAGGCGGGCGTAAGCCGTGCCGGCTGCCATCGCATTGTTCCCCGCTTGCGCCTCCCCGATAACGGCGGAAATGGGGGCCCTGGGCTGCGCCCCGCGAGCAGCCGGGGGTGCCGGCCAGCCTGGGCGAGGCGGGAGGGAGGCTAGGGGTGGGAGGGCTCCCCAAGCCGCCCTGCCACCTCCCGCCCCTGTTACGGCCAGAGCCGGGGCCGGCTCAACCGGAGGTTGGGAGGAAACAAGTTTTCTGGCAGCGGGGAGCCCCTCTGGCCTGAAAACAAGCAGGGATGGTAGCAAGCCCCTTCCTGAACTCTCTTCTGCCAGCGAGGTTAGGGTTTGGGCAGAGCGAGGAGTCAGGCAGCTCGTCGCAGACCCGCAGGCATCGGTGGCAGGGGAGATCGGTTCCGCCGCTCGCACTTGGGCCCCTCTCTGACCCGGGAGTCTGCCGCTGCTGCCTCCATCCTGCCTTGGGGCGCCTCGTGCGTGCGGTGTTCGGAGTGCCGCTGGACGGGATGGGGCAGGCTGCCTCCCGGCCGGCAACCCCACGGGGCTTCGGCAGCCACTGTTCTCACTGTCCGGGGGAGCTGCCCGTTGTTTTTGTTCTTCGGCGTTTCCTCTCCCTAAGGGCTCCCTCCTGCCCGTCCCCTCCCCCGCCCCGACTTGTTTTTTTCTTGCGGTTAAAAGACAAAAAGGCACGTTTTCGGGTCGTCCCATCTGGGGTCCCGGTCCCCGCTGCGCAGGAGGACGGAGGCGCAGGAAAGCCCCGGCGCGGGGGTCCCGCTGGCGATAGAGGGTCCTGTGTTTTGGTTTAAAAGCATTTCCACGTGGGGAAGCCTCCGTGTGTGTGTGTGTGTGTGCGCGCGCGTGTGTGTGTGTGTGTGTACTTGATCCGTGAGGAGGTAACAGGATTCTCCGTGTTCAAACACAGTGGGCTGCTGGCCATTAATTTGCTTCCCCGGCTGTCATTACAGACACTTCCCAAATCAGATACTGGCGGAAAACCGCCGGCTGGGTTTCACGGGCTCCGGCGGCGGTTCTCCCTGGGCCGCAGGGGCTCCACACCGTGCCCGGGCGGCGGGGGCTGCCCCGGGGCCGCCGCCCGGCACTCGCCAGCGGTGAGCGACCCCGCCGAGAAGCGAGAGCGGGACCCCGTGGCAGGGCTGCTGCCAGTCATTACTTGGCATCTAAAGTTTCATTTACGTTTATGAAGCTGTTGCTCAGAGCCAAGTAGGTACTGCGCTGCCTTCCCGTTATCCTGCGGGCGGGATTTAAAGCGCGCACACGGAGGTGCACCTTCATCTCGCGAGTGGGGATGTGAAGTACATAGCTGGTATTTGCACAAATCGTGGGAGGCAAGCTGTAGCAGACAAGGGAGCGCCTTGGCCGATTCGGGTTTAAGCACGAAGCCATGCTAGAACAGTAAGAAACCAGTATTTTCAATATTCTGAGTTTTGTTTTGCGTGTTTCACTTGCTGAGACTAGAAAGTATGTCTGGGATAAACTAATCAGCAGTTTAGGTTTGGAGTGAAGTATACAAAGCAAGCATCTTTTCTGTATGGTAAATATTATTCTTTTTGTTGTCTGACCTCATTACTTGTTTGTTATTTGAAGAGTGTACTTTGAATCAAAGCTCAGCTTATAGCATTGTTTTATTTCCTTAACACTCAAAAGAGAAGTTTTGCAAAGTTACAGTGGGTTTGACTTTTCGTACTAGTACTTCTGAAAATGCTGCCGAATAACAAATGTTTGCATACGCCCGACGTGTCATACTGTGAATAAAGTGGAAATACAAATTGACATTTCTCTTAACCTCCCTGTGATTCTTTCTGTACATTTGACATCTAACATTAGCTGGGCTACGTCTGAAACAGCTCTTCGTGCTTTCTTTTGAAAATTCTGGTATTTATGTTGCCAAATGTTCTTCAATCAAATATAATAAAAACGAAAGAGGAGTGTGGTGGTTAATCTTTTATGTATCTTTTTTCCAGGTAATTCATGTGCATTTAGAATTTGATATGTATATGTGGTTATACTAATAAATTTAGTTGAAGATTACTCTTGTTGTATTTGTACTTATTAATGGCTTCAAAACACTTTGCAATAGAAATCTGTTCTGCTCTATGGATAATGCCAATGGGATAAATAAATTTAAAACAAGGAATTTAGTAAGTAGAAAACAGTTAATTGCTTTTCCCAGTTAAAATGTTTCAAATAAGGCAACTAGAAATACAGCTATAGATAGTGTCCTGTTGCATATTTTTAGACTCTGATGCAAGCTTTGAGAGCTTCTCGTTAAACTTTATGCAACTTTTACCTTTCAGTCCTAGAGTTAATCAGTGTTGTTAAACACTGACATTTGGTGTGGAAGAGGTACCTGTCTATTTCCTGCATGACCTGGTGGTATTGCATGACATTCAGTGCAATCCTCCGGTGTTGAAATTTAAACTGCTTTTTCCTCTTTTAAATATGAAAGCCAATACAGAAAGAAGAAAGAAATTCCTGGAATTTCTGTCAAATGCTCTAGGACGCAGCTACCATTTTTTTCTGTATTATCTTTTTCTTTCTTGAAAGTAGAGATTTTATGAACTCAGGGTAAAACAGGTCTCCCTTTTTATAAGGAGAGTTTATTCAGCATACTTCTATATTGCAGCTGCTGATCATATTTCATTGAGCTGTTAAAGCACTTAAAACCTAAAATTAGGTACTGTCTGGTAGTAAATATTTCAAATCACCCCTTGAAGAAATAAATAGAGAAGACATTTTGAAATATATCATTGAACAAGACTAATCTTGCTTTGCTTTTACTCAAAATAATGCAATTACAATCTAAACCACTGATTTCAACACAGTGTGGGTTTTTTTCCTTAGGTTTTCTTCATCTCCCACACTTTTATTATGATTTTATACTGACTTTATTTGATATCATAACTTGGTACTCTGTTCAAGTTATGTTTACTGCAGCACCGCTTGCATTAACAGGTGTCAAATTAACTTCTAAAATACCTGTATTTTTAACAAGTATTCTTCAGGTACTAAGAACTTAATGTTCTTAATAAGTAAGTCAGTAAGCTCCCTTGCTTCCTGGTGTGCATTTGTCTATGTTTTTTAATTGCAGAAGTTGTATACTTGCTTTTTTCCCACATTTAAGATTAGTAAATTTACGGATTAGTATTTTTAATTTGTGGGTTTTTTTGTTGTGTGGCAGTTTCCTATTTGTTTTTTAGTTGAACATGAGAATAGGTTTATTTGCTCATTGTCATTCATTTTTAGTGTTGTCAGGGTTTGCAAGGAGAACGCAAACACAGCGGCATCTGTCAAGCTGATCAAGTATTTTTAAAACTTCTTGAAAGTTCAGCACTAAACCGAGTCTTGTAGCAGAAACACTCCGATGTCTTTGATTTTTACTTTGTACATAAGAATCCAATGTTATTTCTGCTACCTAATGTATCTATAATCTTTTTGCCATTTTTTGTTAGAAAAACAGTATTTATGTTATGCAAGTAGAAGAAGAGTTTTGAGATTTCGTCACCGATTGAGAGGTTTACAACTAAACTTAATATGTGCTATTTTTCTAATTTGGATTTAAATATTGTGTAAATGTGTATCCAACTTAACCTTTTCTGTCATTGAAAAGCGCTAATTGATCTTGCTGGCCGTGACATAATAGTATAGTTTGATATTTGAAACCTTTCAGCTTTGCCATGGCCCTTTAATCACCCCTGAGATTTCAGGGTATGGTTATACTTGAAGGCATAAACTGCTACTCTTTTAAAAATTAAATAAAAATGGTTATTAAAAATAAATTATCTTTATGGTATCTTAAAGTCAGTAGATGTTTTACCGATAGGTAAAGCCCCAGTCTTCACAATATACATTAAAAATTTTCTGCTTTACTCAGATATATTAGTTGACCTTTTAGATGTTGCTTTACAGAAATCAGATTTTTATGCAGTAATTTTTTGTCCAAGTCCACATTTCTGTGTTGCAATGCTATTAAATCTGTCATTAAATCTGAAGTGCTTAAAGGAAATTGGATGCACTTTGTAGTGTGAAAGCTCAGATACGAGGAATGCTTATCCGTCAAGGAAAGAATAAAATTTTTTTGAAAAAGCAGTAAAACTTACATTTTTAGTCCACACTGGAGGCTTTAATGATGCCAGTTGCTTTTGGGATGCCTGTAATACAGACCTTGGTGAAAACTATTTTTAAAGCAGTTTCTTCTTTTTGTCTCTAAGCATGAGAAACGCTTTGAATAGCTGGCCCGCCTTTTGCTTTAATGTTAAGCAGTAAAATTACTTTGATGATTGATTATCCTATATCAAAATGCATCACTGGGCAGTCTCACTCACAAGATTGTATACAGGCTAGTTGTCAGACTTTTGAGCAGAATGTCAGAAGCTAATGGCTGAGGAATACTAAAGTTAAGCATTTTATTTTCAATTTGTTTAAATTTTCTTCATGATAAGGGAAGATTATAATGAGGAGTGATTATCTTCAGAACTTTCAGAGGTCTACATACCAGTGAGACTAGTATTTGGTCTTAAGCTATTAGACTCAGTTACTAGGCACTAAACTTTGAGTTAGACTTCAATTACCATGGATTTGAACAGAAGGATTTTAGAGGTTTTCTGTACCTGAATTTCTTTGGAGGTCTGCATCCTTTTCCTAGAACTAGAGAAATAAATAAAATTATGGCCATTTTTCATTAAGCAGCTGTCCATGGAAGTACATTGTAGTGAGTGATGTTGCAGGACTGTGTAGGGCTGTTTAATGAGATGTAATTTAAGTGCTGTCTCTGAAGAACTCAGCCTGTCTGAGCTGGCTGGATATTGTGTCTTTACGCCTTGGTCACCTCCTCTTGTGGCTGGACTATACAGTTTGGCTGATTGGGAGCGGCAGATTGCAAAAAGACCTCCCAAGGCAACCTGCAAAATATTCACATGCAGAAGTCTAATTGAAGTTAATATGCACTAGATTTTTTTGCAACATTAATATATATATTGCTTTTGTGACATGACCGTATAAGTTGACATTGTCAGCAGTGTAAAATTATTGCTGCCTTTTTTTTAATTGGGTGGATACAGCAAGTAACTGTTATGCTCTTGACACATATATAATTAAACCACAAAACCCTGCATTAAAATACCGTGAAGGGTCTGATTTAGACCACAAAAGTAACAGAAATACAGAGCTGAGTTTGCAACTTTTCAAATAATTCTCCTCTATGGCTCTGTGTATATAACTATTGAAATCAATGCTGGTGCATGAGGTAATTGGAAATTTTAGTCGATGTTTTGTGCCAGATCCTTAGCTGTTGCAGATTGGACTAGGAATGTTGAAATTACTGGAGTGGTCTCACATTATGCCAGATGAGTATCTAGTCCTCTATTCTTAGTGCAGCTTGTTTTTTGGGGGGAGGATGTTGTAGTATACTTTATATGTGTGAGATCACATGCACAGAGAAGTGATCCTGCAATACTTAGGAATACTTAGAAAAAACAAAAGAGGCTTAAGTATAAATGTCCAAATAATATATTTATGTTTTCTTCCATTTTAAGACATATTCATACTCCTGTATTAGAATATATCTTTCTTTTTTTTTTACAGCATTTTACAAATGACCACAGAAATGCCTTTTACAGTAATTGTGTCTATGCAAATGGTGCAGTTACTTAGAAATATTGTTAATTGACAGTATTATTTTAATTCTTTTAAGGCAACTTTGTTGCTCACAGAAATAAACAGGTTGCCTTTGCTCAGGGACATTTTGTGAATGCCAAGCCTATTCAATGAAAGGTGTGAAGTCTTTTACCATGTTAAATCCCCCTTTTTTATTTACTGTAGTATATTCCCAGTGAATCACAGAAAATGAAGTTCACCTTACTCCCAAGTGAGAGCAGCTAAACCAGCCTCTGTATGCTCCAGTTTATGCATCCTGATATCACGCTATATGTAGGTCTTTCTTCCAGCTCTCCTGAGTATCCCAACTTAGACGTGGTTTCACAAAACCAGGCATGGCTCAGGCAGATTATATACATTTCCTTTGCCAAGTTCTAGCAATGCAACTCAGACGTAACCTAGTGTTCCTGGTGGTCTTAACACAGAGAACTAGGGAGCTGCAAACTAATAGGGCCAAATGGTATGGAGGTTTTACAAATGGAATAATTCTATTCTGGGAAAGGGTCTCCAAAATAAAATTTCCAGGTTACCCCAAGGCAAGATTTGGAACTGTGGTAGGTTTTCCAAGTGGAAAGATAAAGTACTTTTCCACTCAGCCACCTATTTTTGTGTTTATTCTAATCTGGTGTGATAGAGGGAGTTGGTGTGATGTTCGTTCAATTGATTGCCCTATAGGCAAGCAATTTTTTGTGTTCAAAGCACCATCAGAATGCTGAGTTCACTGTTCAGTAGTATGGCTG